AATAAAAATAAAAAATTAAAAATTAAAATTAAAACACAAGTTTTAATTGATAGAAAATAGAAATAAAAAATTAGAAATTAAAATTAAAATACAAGTTTTAATTGATAAAAATTTAAAAAAGTTAAAAATTACAAATAAAAATTAAAATGCAAATTTTAACCAATAAAAATGAAAAATAAACATAAAAAATTAAAAATCAAAATTAAAATGTGAGTTTTAATTGATAAAAATGCAAAATAAAAATTGAAACATTAAAAATAAACATTAAAATGCGAGTTTTAATTGAGAAAAATTAAAAATAAACATAAAAAATTAAAAATTAACATTAAAGTTCAAGTTTTAATTGATAAAAGTTAAAAAATAGAAATAAAAAATTAAAAATAAAAATAAAAATGCAAGTTTTAATTGATAAAAATTAAAAAAATAAAAAATTAAAAATAAAAATTAAACCGCAAGATTTAATTGATAAAAATAAAAAATAAAAATAAAAAATGAAAAACCAAAATAATATATTATTTATATAATATTTAGATATATATAATTTTTATTTATTATTTATCTAATGCATATTATATTAATCTAATATTTATTATTTATATATTCTCCTTTCCAGGGGCCTCAACTTTGAGGGGACAACGATTGGATTGGCCTTTCTCAAGTCCATCTGCAATAATTTATATTCTGCAGGTGTTATTCAGGTCGGATTGGGTTTTATTTTATTTTTTTACAAGCCTTTTATGTGGTTTGTTGTTGTTTTGTTTTTTTTTTTTGCTGAACCAGCAAAGACCATTGATGAAAATTGTTGGGTTTATGGCACTTTCAGTTCTCTCTCTGGGTCATATAATTGTTTTATTAGAAATTCACATTCAGAGATCCCTGGAAGTGTCCAAGGCCAGGTTGGAGCAACCTGGAATAGTGGAAGGTGTCCCTGCCCATGGCAGGGATGGGACTGGATGAGCTTTAGGATCCCTTCCAACCCAAACCATTCCATGATTTTATTTTAAATGACATGCAGAGGATTAAAAAAAGCACACACATGGTGTACACACCTCCATGGTATCTATTTTATTTACATCTATATTGTAATATAGATCTATAATAGATCGATACTTTTAATGTATTCTTTTATATCTATATTTATATTCTATTTATAACTATATTCTATTTATACCTATATTGATTCTAGATATATCTATATAGATATAACTATATATATTTTATTTATAGCTATATTCTATTTATATCTCAATTCTATTTATTCTAGATATATCTATATGGATATATCTCTATACAGATATATCTCTATATATTCTATCTATACCTATATTCTATTTATATCTATATTCTGTTTATTCTAGATATATCTATATAGATACCACTATATATTTTTTTATATCTATATTCTATTTATTATATATATATCTAGATAGATATTATCTATATATTCTATTTGTATCTATATTCTATTTGTATCTATATTCTATTCATCTCTCTATTCTATTTATATCTCAATTCTATTTATTCTAGCTATATCTCTGTAGATATATCTCTATATATCTCTATGTATATCTATATTCTATTTATATTTATATTTATTCTAGATATATCTATTTGTATCTATATTCTATTTATATTCTATTTATTCTTGATATGTCTCTATAGATATATCTCTTTATATTCTATTTATAACTATATTCTATTTATATATAGATAGATAGATATCCTATAATCCAGAATAAGCAGTGGAACAGCTGCACACAGGGATGGAGACCCATGAGACACAGCACTGAGGACAATTCCATTGGATCCAAAGTGCTGTTTATTCTCTTCCTTGATGTTCTCCTTGTTCCCAAACACTTCCACCAGCTCATCCTTGTCCCCGCAGGACCACAGCAGGAACGTCATCGCCGTGGGAGCCACCATGGCCCACGAGATGGGGCACAACCTGGGCATGAGCCACGACACCAAGGCCTGCTCGTGTAGCGACGACATCTGCATCATGACAGACACCGTCAGGTAAAGGGCTGGGGGTATTTTATCATTTTATTATTATTATTTATTATTTTTCCTCTGCTCTCTGTATTTATCAATAGAGCTATTTGGAAAAATGGTTGCAGCTGATTTTTGGGGATGGTCACTTGGCTGATTTCTCTCACAAGGGAGAACTCCCAAGCGAGTTTCTCTCACTGTATTTCTCTCACAAAGGGGATTTCTCCTCCTTGCCCATGTCCATCCTAATGTAAATCCTCCCCATTTCTCCCTATAGTTCCTATATTCCCAAGGAATTCAGCTCCTGCAGCCTCCAAAGCTTTGAGAAGTTCATGTTGAACGAAATGCCCGAGTGCCTGACGGACATTCCCGACGTGAGCAGCATCGTTGCCCCCCCATCCTGCGGGAATGGCTTCACGGAGAAAGGAGAGGAATGTGACTGCGGCACTCCCGAGGTATCTGGGAATGAAATATCCCTTGGAAAAGGCAAAGGAGTTCGGTCAGGCTGGTTGCTGTCCCTCCCTGGGGCAGGGAGCTCAAATTCAGCTGAAATATTTCCGTGGGGTCTGCGGTCACCAAGCGCAGTGTCCCGGGGGGGGAGGGAGGAGGGAAATCCTGGTTTGTGGGGCTCTGGGAACACGGGAACTGAGAGTCCCACAGAGCCACCCCCACGTCACTGACCCAGAGAGTTCCCTGCCCAACTTCCACCAGCACAAGTGCTGTGAGGAGAGGCTGAGGGAGCTGGGGCTGTTCAGC